TTTTTGGTGCAAAAAAGGGGGGCCAAAGGCCTAAGCTAGAACATGATGTGGATAAGCCACGCCGATATTATCGTGATCGAGCCAGGTCCCGAAACCCTCAGGAGGGGACCCCATGCGGTGTAAGCCAGTCTGGTAGGATGCCGCCATATTCGTCAACTGATCCGCCGCAAAGTTCGCTTCCCTATATATATGACGGATACGGACACTCCAGTCTCGTTGAACGAGGTCTCGTATAGCGCGGACAAGAGCCTCATGGGGCCCGATCTCACCAATGTGGTCACATACCATCTGTTTCACGCACAAACTATCAACCTCAGCCTCAATCTGCCGAAAACCCATCTCCCAAGCCAGAGATAGCCCTTGAAATAGATCCCACAGCTCGGCCCCCGTAATCATGCAAAAGCCAATGTTGAACACAAACCCCGATAGCCATCGCCCCGCCTCGTCACGAATTAAGCCACCCGCACAACTCAATTCCGTTGCAGTATTAACGGCACCATCGGTATTTAATTTAACCCAACCCACAGCTGGGGGAGACCAACGAATTATGCGCGTTACGTGCACAGCTGCGCCTACGCGGACATAGTCCGCCATTGCTCGAGTGTAGTTGTCGGTTAACCGTAAGACTTGCAGCCGCCTTTCTTCCACGCTCAAAAGCTTTCGTTTAAATAAGCGATCATTACGCCACAGCCAAGCCCTCCAAACAGTGACAGCGAACGTGCAATTCCACTTCTTGTAAATCCCAACTCGCTCCATCAGTAGGTTCGTGCGCAGCCACATCTTGAGAGGGAGCCGGAAAAAATTGTGATGTATAAATATTTGTGTTTATTTGGATATATGAAAAATGATTGCTAAGTCAAGAAAGGGCTTTGTGGGGTGTAAATTGCACTAGCCCGAGAGTTATGGCTTCAATTGAGGTTAAAACAAAATGTACACAAATCAAATGGGCACAGCACACGACCGAGACACAAATAATGATTACCAATTATTATTTCAACTATTTTGGCACAACACGAGCGGGGATTTTTCGTTTTCCTCTTCAGCAATTATGCTCGCGATCGAGTGTCTTTTACAAGTGTACAGTTTTACTATGGTGCATCGGATGACTCGATTTATGGATATCTCTATATTTATTTATCAATAATATATTGACACGTGTCTTGCAATAAATACAATTTGGACATGTGTTAATGATAGAAAAGTAAAACAAACATCATAATAAATGCTGCAACAATATCTTAGCTCGAGGCTTATCAATAAAACAGCAAATATGAAGAAATGGTGTCTATCTTGATCAAGAAGGTTTGCAGTACAGAGTTTACATATATATAGCATGGAAAACCTTTAACCAATGTAATCTAAACCACACAAAAATAAACCACTCATCTCAGCCATACACGTATGAGAAAGGAAATAAGAAAAGCTGAAAAAAGTTGTCTGCATGCTGCCATGCAGGTACAGAAATGCCTTGAGCATGTTTTACTAGTCACGTGCCGGTTTCTCCATCTTTTCTTCTTGTGTCACGTGTTCAACCTCTATGCTAACAGTTAATACATTAAGTGGTGGATAGCTCCATAAGAAAACAATTCGATGACTCGGTATAATTTTTGTACAAGTGTATATCATCTTTCATTTTATTTATTTATTATCTTGAAAGCATTATTTTGTGCTTGTGCTTGAATCGATCTTTGATTCATGATGATGATGATGATGGTGAATATGTTTGACCATCATTTGAATCACTAGCGCTACTTTTATTTATATTTTCTTTTTATTTTAATTGGAATAGTGGCATTTTATGGGGTAAGTTATTATATATGATTTTGCATTTTACCTAGCTACCATACTCTAGACGTTTGGAGATTGATATAAAATAAGGAAATTCTACGGTTTTCTATTATGGAATCATATCGTCGAAGGTTGTAATCATTAGATCAACTATTCACGATGGTTACATGATGATATAACTGTTACAAATTCCAACGAAACAAGACTGTAACATTTCCCTATAAAATATACTACATTGTTCCATCTAATTGAATTATTTTTTTATTTGAATATGTAATTCAATATGATTTTTATAATTAAAAATTGATTTCCATTTAGTTTTCTCAATCTAAGTCGTATTAATATATTTGAAAATACACTATAGTGACTACACATATTCCAACAAAACTTATTATTCAAACTCTTATATATTTTGAACGGATCATTTGTAATCATTAATTACTTATATATCGAAACAAATTTAATCACTACTAAATTTAATCTCCTATTAATTTACAAAACTCAAAATTAGTTTAATATCCCACAACTTTTTTTTTTTTCTATTCTTTAATTAACCCTCCTTTTCCATTCATATAGTTTCTTAGAAAAGTAATCTATATCAAATCATATTTTCTCATATTTGAAAATATCTATTACATACTCATCCTAGCCCAATCAAAACA